ACACAGAGACCCATAGACTCGCGCGCAGCCAAAACAAAGTACAAAACAATTCACGGCCAAACACATCCGAAGAGAGGCGCCCGACAGACACCCGAGTTCGATTCCCGCTCACGGATGCACCCTACCCAACACCATCAAAGACGTAACCGGTCCCTCTGGGGTTGGGGGGGGGGGGGGGGGGAGAGACAAAGGCGGCCAGGCGTGGTTGCTGGCTCACACACCCCCCCCCCCCCCCGTCTCGTGTGACGTCTTTAAATTCAAAGCGCTGAAGCTTGCGCGTGGCTTGACAATGGCGCTTTTTAGTGGATGCACACGCGTGGTGATCGCACTTTGTTGAAACACATTCCTGCGGAGGGAGCTGGTAGGAACGTTGGGTTGCTCGGTCAATGGCCAGGGTCAACGGCGGCACCACGTGGTGCATTCAGCAAATATGCCCATCTGTGAGGGCGGGCACAAGCCGGCGTGAGTAGGTTAAACGTTGAGTTTTAAAAGGGCACCACGGGGTGACCAGCCCCTCCCCACCCAGCCCCACCCCTCCCACCCCCACCCAGCCCCACCCTCCCCACCCAGCCCCTCCCCACCCTCTCCATCCAGCCCCTCCCCACCCAGCCCCACCCCTCCCACCCCCCACCCAGCCCCACCCTCCCCACCCAGCCACTTCCCACCCCTCTCCACCCAGCCCCACCCCTCCCATTTTATCCGGGTGTTCAGATACATGCGTACAGACATCCACAGACATACACAATTAATCCCCTGCCTCCTGTGAGAATTAACCCCGGTCGGGCTTCCGGTACTGCGCTGCGCTGCCCACGCGCTCCGCCTCGCGGCACGGGGGGGCCGCGCGGCACGAGCCGTGAAGAAAACCCAAAAAAATGAAAAAAATCCTTCTAGAAAAGAAGAGAAGGGGGGGGGGGTTACGTTAAACAAAGCATAAAAAAATCCCCAAAAAAACGAAATGATGAACGGAACCAAGTTGCCGAATCCAGCGAGTCTTCTGATCCTTAAAAAAACGAGAGGACAGTGACAGAGGCAGGCAGGGAGAGAGGCATGGCACAGGGAGAGAGAGAGAGGGGCAGTGAAAGCAGCAGCAGCAGAGGGAGGAAGAAGCTCGTCATTGAAGAGGAGTGAGGAGGCGAAAAAAAAGAGATGGAGAGAGGCGAGGGGGGAGGAAGAGGAACGGAACGAGAGGCATGGAGGGGAGGAAGGGGAGAGGGACCAGAGAATCCTCCTCCCACACGATATTTTATTACGTGGCGGGCCATCGCCAGGTCAGGTGAGAGAGTTGATGGTGGTGGTGATGGCGATATTGTCGACGATGTTAATGATGGTGGTGATGATGGTGATGGTTGTGATGGTTATGATGGTGATGATGGTGATGATGGTGACGATGGTGGTGATGATGGTAGTGGTGGTGGTAATGGTGGTGCTGGTGACGGTTGTGATGGTGGTGATGCTGGTACGTTGACGACAATAACGGTAAATCGTCCTCTGCAGACAGAGGGCTTCCAAGCTGCAGATCGTGGGGATGAAAGGGCTTGGAGCTGAGGTTGTGAAGAACCTCATTCTGGCTGGAGTGAAGTCCGTGACATTTCTAGATAAGGTATGGTACTATAATAAAGCTTGATTCCAAGCACTACTTACAAATATTTTTCATTATAACTGCTATTTGTGCACACACTCAGTTCTCAGTGGTCTGGATACGGCCTCAGAGCTTTTGCACAAATACATTCACACGTTTACGTGTTGTTAAATGTTATGTTGTGGAGTTGTGGTGCCGCCGCAGCGGAGCCGCGCCCACCACCGTGACGCCGTCACCGATGCCTCGGATTTCCCGCCACTCTCCCGGAGCCGGTGCCTTCTCAGACGTCCGCGTTGTGGCCCCTGCACAGTCGTGAGGCCGCTGCAGCAGGGCCGCTCTGCCGAGGTCGTGCCCACCACCGCAAAGCCGCCACCGGGGGATGTCGACGCTGACGCTGCGCACCCTCACCACCCCCCCCCCCCCACACGAACGTACACACGCCCCACGTAGAGCCAGGAGGGGAGGTCACCCGGCTGATAGGTTTTTGTCCAGAAGTCCCTAATGGGATCGAACTTCATGGTTTCCTGCGGCCGGGAAATTGGGCGATCTTCCCCCTGTAGCTGACATGCACTGCGGCGCCGCGACCTAATATTAAAGTTGCATGGTCACGGCAAGGGCCATCGAACCACCGCGAGTGGAGCCACACACGCACAAGCACGGGTCAGTGGACTGGTAGCGGGAGAACAGAGAGCGGACATCGGTGAGATCACTGCGGCGACGTCACCCGAGCTGGGATCCGGGCATCGATAGGGCGGGAGAATCCGAGCCCCTGATTGGACGGGAGGCCAAGGGTCTGAAAGAGCAAAAATTCCTTTGTTGTAGGTAGAATAAAAGGAGGGGGGCTGGGGTAGCAGGGGGGTTCTTCTTGTTCAAGATCATCGCGGTCCCGGGAGCAGGAGAGTCAGCCATCCGAGACGTCCGTGAGACGTACTCCAGCATCGGCAGGGTCGCCGCCTCATTTCCTTACAGCGGTCAGTACATCGGGGAGAAGTAAGTACGAGTGAGAGAAGCGTAAGTTTAGGCATTTTAAATCCAGGATAGAGAGCGGGGCGAGCGGTAGGGGAAATCGACCCGAAGACCTCCGAGGGATAGCTTAGCGTCCACTGACCATACCATCACAGGTAAATAAAATTCGCTAGTGGGGGGATAAAACTGTGTTGCGTGGTCGTTTCGGGAGTGTGAAGTGGAGGGCAGTGTGCGCTGGGTGTCTACGTGTATGCGCAGCTGTGCACCTCGGGACGAAGCGTGGGGGTGTTTACGTGCCCGCAGGATTGCTCACAATAGTGCTTAGCGATCGCGTACCTGGGTGGCGGTGCCGCGGTCACGCACCCGCACACGGGTCTGGTCGCGAGATAGCGAGTTAGAGCGCCGAGCGCGCGCGTATTCGCGCGACTGTTTGAGCGGGACCTTTAACTCAGAGCCAAGCGAGCGTCCCCAATCAGCGGCGCGCGCACGGCAGAAACCCCGCCCGCCCGTCCCCCGGCTCCAACCCCTTCGTGTGCGATTGGTCTGTTTACGGGCAGAGGGTAGGGGCGTGTTTGTTATTGTCGGCACGCGTGAAGCGCGGGTGGGAGGGAAACACGCGCCGCGCCTGTTTGTTTAGGGCGGTACGGACATTTACTGGCGAGCGCGCTCACAGCCCCACCCCGCCGTTGCACAGTGTAACACATCGCAAGCGCGAAGCGTACGAGCTGCTAATTAAACTATGCAAACGCGGTCGACATCCCAGGCAGAGGTACAGGGGGGCGAGACGTTAGGGGTCGTTAGTCTGGACCTGACAGAGCAGCCGGGGGGTAGCGGTGTGAGTGGAACGGGGGAGTCGGTGGGCAGCGGCCCCGACAATTCAGTGATGGCGGGGGACGGTAGCCCCCACACTTTCATGTTACTGTTTAAATAGAAGGAAGACGTCGTAATGACCCAACGTCACCTATTTCACGGCGTGACTCCACAGGTGAGCCAGGTGATAGGTTTAAGTCTTCTCGACCATTGCCTTGACCTTTGCTAAGATTGGCCAAATAAGCGGATTCTTTACTCATCCATCCCTCCAAGTTGGCTGTATCACTTGGGGCAGCTAATACCCACATTAGAATGAGCCAGCACCGTTTTTAATGACAGACAGTAAAATGGAATGATGGATTGATTAATTGATATCAATATCGATTTCGCATTTAATTAAGCATGCTTTGAATCGAATATGAAAACAATGGATTATTTTGATCTGAATGTTTATGCAATGGGCCCAAAATCACCACAATGTTATTAAAAAACGGATAGATGATTTTATTTAAATTGCGGCAATTCATCTAATCATGAGGTGTAACTAGTGACATCATTGTTACACCTACATCAGAGAGCCACCTTGCATTTTTCGTTTAACTTAATTTGGATTCGACCAACTCTGAGAGTGAGATATAAGTAGCACATGTCAGATGACTGACACGCATTGAACTGCTCTAATGGAGCACAGGAATGTGCTGGTTAAGTGTGACCTCTTGAAGAGATGCCAGAAGATATTCTCGTGTTTCTTGTGGCATCTTTCCAAATTGAGACATCGATCTGCTGCCAGTAGGAATTTCCCTGCCTTGTGTATTGGCTTCGATATTACAATTTGGAACATAAATAGTTATGCATCCAGAAAAATAGTAAAATAAAAAATACAACTGCACATTAAGCATGTGCTCAGACACATTTGGCTAATCAGGGTGGAGTCTAAGGTGAAACTGGCTGTTTCCTACTGGAAAATTGATTAAGTAACTGTACTCTTTGTTTTACTGTAACCATCTCTGCGTGAAAAAAATTGCATTTGATCACTTTTATTGAATAATTGCCTTTAACATTCAGTTTGAGTTAGACTAGTGTTGTGTATAGTGTATAGTGTTGTGTAGTGTATAGTGTAGTGCATAGTGTAGTGTAGTAGTGTACAGTAGTGTATAGTGTAGTGTATAGTAGTGTATAGTGTAGTGTACAGTAGTGTATAGTGTTGTGTAGTGTATAGTGTAGTGCATAGTGTAGTGTAGTAGTGTACAGTAGTGTATAGTAGTGTATAGTGTAGTGTATAGTAGCATAGTGTAGTCTATAGTGTAGTGTATAGTAGTGTATAGTGTAGTGTATAGTAGTGTATAGGGTAGTGTATAGTAGTGTATAGTGTAGTATACAGTGTAGTGTACATTAGTGTATAGTGTAGTGTATAGTGTAGTGTATAATAGTATAGTGTAGTGTATAGTGTAGTGTATAGTGTAGTGTATAGTAGTGTGTAGTGTAGTGTATAGTGTAGTGTATAGTGTAGTGTATAGTGTAGTGTATAGTAGTGCAGTGCATAGCCAGAGGGTTCCTCTGCAACCCCCACAGGTAGAAGGGGCAGTGAGTCGAGGAACAGATGGAGATTAGTCCACCACACTCTGCCTGGGGTAGGGGTGTTCCCTCACACGTTGGACATGAGGTAGATCTCCTTCACGGCCTCCTGGCTGCGGCAGTTCAGCCTCATGAGGTCCATGGTGGTGTAGCTGAGAAGGTTCCCACGTTTGCTCACCTGGTGAGTGAGGGGTGGTGAGTGGTGGTGAGTGGTGAGTGAGGGGTGTGGTGAGTGAGGTGTGGTGAGTGGTGAGTGAGGGGTGGTGAGTGGTGAGTGGTGAGTGAGGGGTGGTGAGTGAGGGGTGGTGAGTGGTGAGTGCGGTGTGGTGAGTGGTGTGTGAGGGTGGTGAGTGATGAGTGAGGGTGGTGAGTGGTGAGTGAGGGGTGGTGAGTGGTGAGTGGTGAGTGAGGGGTGGTGAGTGAGGGGTGGTGAGTGGTGAGTGCGGTGTGGTGAGTGGTGAGTGAGGGTGGTGAGTGATGAGTGAGGGTGGTGAGTGGTGAGTGAGGGGTGGTGAGTGGTGAGTGAGGGGTGTGGTGAGTGGTGCGCTGAGTGGTGGTGAGTGGTGGGGTGAGGGTTGGGTGAGTGAGGGGTGTGGTGAGTGGTGGGCTGAGGGGTGAGACTCACACATAGACACATAGACTCACACGTAGACACATAGACTCACACATAGACACATAGACTCACACATAGACACATAGACTCACACATAGACACATAGACTCACACATAGACACATATACTCACACAAAGACACATAGACTCACACATAGACACAGACTCACACATAGTCCCACACCTAGACACATAGACTCACACATAGACACAGACTCACACATAGACACAGACTCACACATAGTCTCACACCTAGACACATAGACTCACACATAGACTCACACATAAACACAGACTCACACCTTTACACATAGACTCACACCTAGACACAGACTCACACCTATACACATAGACTCACACCTAGACACATAGACTCACACATAGACTCTGGGTCTATGAGTGGTGAGTCTGTGAGTGGTGAGTCTATGAGTGGTGAGTCTGTGAGTGGTGAGTCTGAGTCTCTGTGTGATGAGTCTATGGGTCTCTGTGTGGTGAGTCTGTGGGTCTCTATGTGATGAGTCTATGGGTCTCTGTGTGGTGAGTCTATGGGTCTCTGTGTGATGAGTCTATGGGTCTCTGTGTGATGAGTCTATGGGTCTCTGTGCGATGAGTCTATGGGTCTCTGTGTGGTGAGTCTATGGGTCTCTGTGTGGTGAGTCTATGGGTCTCTGTGCGATGAGTCTATGGGTCTCTGTGCGATGAGTCTATGAGTCTGTGTGGTGAGTCTATGGGTCTCTGTGTGATGAGTCTATGGGTTTCTGTGTGATGAGTCTATGGGTCTCTATGTGATGAGTCTATGGGTCTCTATGTGATGAGTCTATGAGTCTGTGTGGTGAGTCTATGGGTCTCTGTGTGGTGAATCTGTGAGTCTCTGTGCGTTGACCTTGATGAAGACCTCTGGCAGACGCTGTTCGGGCTGCAGGGAGTGAGCGGACGTCTGGATGTAAAAGCCACGCACGGCGCTGTAGCTCATGGACATGGGCAGGTTGTGAATCTCGGAGAGCTGTTTGATGATCTCTGGGAGAGAGAGAATGGGCAGGTTGTGAATCTCGGAGAGCTGTTTGATGATCTCTGGGAGAGAGAGAATGGGCAGGTTGTGAATCACGGAGAGCTATTTGATGATCTCTGGGAGAGAGAGAATGGGCAGGTTGTGAATCACGGAGAGCTGTTTCATGATCTCTGGGAGAGAGAGAATGGGCAGGTTGTGAATCACGGATAGCTGTTTGATGATCTCTGAGAGAGAGAATGGGCAGGTTGTGAATCACGGAGAGCTGTTTGTTGATCCCTGGGAGAGAGAGAATGGGCAGGTTGTGAATCACGGAGAGCTGTTTGATGGTCTCTGGGAGAGAGAGAATGGGCAGGTTGTGAATCACAGAGAGCTGTTTGATGATCTCTGGGAGAGAGAGAATGGGCAGGGGAGAGAGGGGGAAGAGTGGGGGAGAAAGGAGGAGAGGGGGGGGGAGATGATGGTGGAACCCACGACCTCCTGCGTACCAGGCGAGGTACTTGACATCTCGCAGCCACCGTGATGATGACGATGATGAGAGAGACACGCAAACTCCAAACGTACAGCAGCAGGCGGTAGAGAGAGAGAGAGGAAGAGAGATACAAAGACGGCCGGGGAGGGCTACGGGTGGGTGAGCGGTGCCGTGCCTTCGATGTCTCCGACGGCCTCGGAGAGGATGCGCCGAGCGAGGTCCAGGAAGCCGTTGAGGCCGGGGCGCACGACGTGGCAGCGCCGTGTCCTGGCCGAGAGGAGGTTGCCCTTGCGGAAGGGCAAATCGTCGGTCAGCACCGTGCGCAGCTTGCCCAGGATCGCAGGGAACCTGGCACGGGGACAGCGGGGTAGGAGACGCGGTGGGGGTTGTGGTGTCGCCGCCGCCATCGACGCCGCCACCGTCGCCGACAACAACAACGACGACGACAACCGCCGTTCGCCACTAAGTGGCGGTGACGTCACCACGACGCTTGTGCCAGGCCATGTGCACTTCGAGGCCACGTGAAGTGTCGAACGCCCGCTGGCACGAAGGTCACGGGGCAGACCCGGGTGCCAGGGGGGGACTGACTGAGATGACTGAGATGACTGGCTGATGCACCACCTGTGCCCCCTACTGTGCCAACCTGCTGTGCTTTAGCCACCCGGCGCTACGCGCGTTGTTGTGAGTGTCGCTCCTCCGCCCTCTGTTGTTGTTGCAGGGCGACTGCCTCCAACTGCCCAGTAGCGTCCTTCACGAGCCTCCTCCACAGAGGCCGATCTTGACACCGCTGGTACCAGTCATCGGCAAGTCCACTCAGCTCCACGTCCTCCTGTACCACGTCACTCCATCTTCTCTAGCCCCCTCGATCCGGCTGAACAAAAGCTGTTTCGGCATGTGATGGCTAGGCATGCGGGCTGCATGACCCAGCCAACGCAGTGTTTCCTGCCGGAGGAGCTCACTGATGGGACTTTGTCCAGATCTTTCAAGGATTTGTGAGCTCCTCACACAATCCAGCCTGGTTAAACCCAGGATGGATCGTAGACAGGCCAGCCTAAATGTTTCTAACCAGCAAAGATGTTCCATTAGGGGGGTCCACGTTGCACAAGCATAGAGAAGGGAGGGAATGACTGTGGCCAAGAAGACCTGAAGCTTAGTGTGGAGCGACAGACCAGGTAGCTCCCACACAGCGTTACGCAACCGATGAAAAGATAATGCCGCTTGACCGATTCCGAGTGCTGTTAAACCGGAGCCGGTCATGAGCACACTGCCCAGGTATGGGAAACTCTCCACTCTCCCCACAACTATCCCATCACCAATTGGAAGTTGTGGGGGTGGAGTGTCCGATGGCACACAATACCCAGGAAAGTGCTTAGTTTCAGTGGGTAAGGCTCCACCTCTTAGTGGCAAGCTCCAGGTTCAGCAGCAGCGCCTCCAACTCCTCCTCTGAGTGAGCAGCAATTCCCAGATCATCGGCATACATTACATGGTTGAACAATCGGGAGCCATCCCTTGACTGCACCCGGGCATCGATCAGCCTCCAATTCTATCTGTACCAGATGGGAATTCCTCCGGTACAGCTACTGAAGGCTTCACGAACTACGTGGTCAAAATAGATGTTTAATAATGTGGGAGCCAGAGGACAGTACTTCCTCAACAGATGGCACCTGAGCCAGCCACTCACAGGGGGTGACTTCTTCCAATATGTGAGGCACCGCAGCCTCAGTAGTGTCATCCCCACTTTGGCCCACTATGTTTTCCAGGTTGAGGGATTTTCCCTCCCCCAGGACCTCACAGAAATGCTCAGCAAATATGCAAACCTGTTCCTCGGGGTCGGAGATTGGATCACCTTTCTTTCCACTAATGATGGTAATAGGTGTGGCGCTGCAGGTTATATTTTTTTTATGGAGTTAAAGAGCGATTTGTGATCGCGGGCCATTGAGGCAGACTCCATCTCCTCAGCAACCCGCGACCACCACCCATCCTTGCAGCGCCTCACGGCTCTCCAAACCTCCGAGCGAAGGTTGCGGTAAGCCTCCTCATTCTCCGACGTGGGATGCTGTAGGCTATGAGAGTGGGCCTGTCGCTTTTTCTCAGTCAGCCTGAACACCTCCTCTGTCAGCCAAGGTCTCTGGGGAGGTCTGGACCGTTTACCCAAAGCAGCCATTGCAGCTGCATGAGCCACAGTCCTAAATCTCGCCCATTGTCCCTCGACATCAGGAGGAGTGGGGGACGATGCCAACCCCAGCCGCACTGAGACCAGGCCACTATGGGTTTGAATCGGGTCCTGGGTGTACACCCACTACCGGAGTGGAAGAATGGCAGGCGCATCTTACAGATGACTAGTCGATGGTCAGTGGGCAGATCAGTACAACGGTAGGTCCTGGTGTCAAGGACATGGGCCCGCATCCGCTGTTCCGTCACTATGACATCCAGTAGATGGCCTTGCTTAGACCTGGCATGCATCCATGATGTTGTGTGGATGCGCCGATGCCGGAACAGCGTGTTGGTAATTATAAGCCCATGGGCTGCACAAAAATCTAGCAGCCTCCTGCCGTTGTTATTGAGCTGATCTGGCTCATGCCTTTCAATCACTCCAGACCAGGTGCCAGCATCATGACCAACTAGGGCATTGAAGTCACCCAACAAGATGACTCTATCCCGAGGGTCCACTTTAGCTAGCACCTGTGACAGGAGGTTATAGGAGGCATCTGACTCATCAGCCTTGCCTGCATCCCTCCACGGATGTTCATATTCGGTGGGGGCATGAGTAACCACGACCACCACTCCTCACCTGCGGTTGATGGGAAGGCGAGCCCAAAGTAGCCTGGGGCCTACAGCTTCCCACACCTCAACCGCCACGTTCCCACACCCCCTTCATTCTTTTGTTTAGAAGAGCCACTCCCTGTTGTTTGGCAGTCTGCTGCCCCGAGTAGAGGACTGTCCACCCCTCACGGTGGCAGGAGCCAGAGCCGGTCCACCGGACCTCCTGATTACCACAGAGATCCAGGCGGTACCGGTCCAGCTCCCGACAGAGAAGTGGCAACCTCTCCTCCGCAGTGAGCATTCGAACATTCTACGAGGTCATCCGTAGTGGGTTTTTGTTGTTAAAGGAGGAGCCCCGATGGGAAGGATTCAGTCTCCTGGCTCCGCCAAATAGTGTTTGGCCAGGAGACGTCATAGATGCCTATCCCCCCGGGGCCTCCGGCACAAGCTTATTAATTACATTTTTCATTCATGGTTTGGTGATAATTAATTGAACGTGGATGGGTTACCAGCCCCTCGCACCCACCCAGAGCCCCCAATTGGCCGCTGTGGTGGCTACAAACGTCATGAAGGGAAAAGCCAAAAATCTAAATAGGCCCTCCCCCCATGGCACTGCCCACCACAGCGTTGCCATCCGGCACCAACGAGGAGGTAGGGGGTTGTTTTTGCCACTGTCACAACCCCCACCATCACCACCATCACCCTCACCACCGTCACCACCGTCACCACCATCACCACCACCCCCACCACACACCCACACCACCACCCCCACTACCACCACCATAATCACCCCCACCACCGTCACCACCGTCACCACCGTCACCACCACCCCCACCACCACCCACACCACCACCACCACCGTCACCACCCCCACCATCACCACCACCTCCTCCACCACCCACACCCACACCACCACCACCACCCCCACTACCACCACCACAATCACCCCCACCACCGTCACCACCATCACCCCCACCACCACCCACACCTCCACCCCCACCACCACCACCACCGTCACCACCCCCACCATCACCACCACCTCCTCCACCACCCCCACCCACACCACCACCTCCTCCTCCACCAACATCACCACCACCACCCCCACCACCACCCACACCCCCACCACCACCATCACCCCCACCACCGTCACCACCATCACCCCCACCACCGTCACCACCATCACCACCACCATCACCCCCACCACCTCCACCACCATCACCCCCACCACCGTCACCACCATCACCACCACCACCCCCACCACCACCCCCACCACCACCACCACCAGCCTGGTCTCCTCGTCACCTGCAGTCCAACAGGGAGCTCTGGTAGGCTGTCAGCAGTGGAGTCTTGCAGGGGCTGAGCGCTCGCTGGGAACACAGCAGGGGAGAGATAGGTGAGGGTGACACCTGCACCTGTCACTCACCACTCACCACCTCACCACCTCACCACTCAACTCACCTCACCCTTCACTCAACACTCACCCACCCCTCACCAACCCCTCACCTCACCACTCACCTCACCTGCCACTCACCCTATCTGTGGGTGTTGTGGAGGCACCCCCAGTGGCAGCTGTCTCTGTGTGTGAGTCTGCTGTAGCCTAGGGGCACCCCCAGTGGCAGCTGTCTCTGTGTGTGAGTCTGCTGTGGTCTAGGGGCACCCCCAGTGGCAGCTGTCTCTGTGTGTGAGTCTGCTGTGGTCTAGGGGTACCCCCAGTGGCAGCTGTCTCTGTGTGTGAGTCTGCTGTGGTCTAGGGGCACCCCCAGTGGCAGCTTAATGATAATGATGGTGATCAATAATAATTAGTGATGACAGTGATTAACAATAATTAGTGATGATAGTGATTAACAATTATTAGTGATGATAGTGATTAATAATAATTAGTGATGATAGTGATTAACGATAATTAGTGATGACAGTTATTAACAATAATTAGTGACGATACTGATCAACAATAATCAGTGATGATAGTGATTAATAATAATTAGTGATGATAGTGATTAACGATAATTAGTGATGATAGTGAGTAACAATAATTAGTGATGATACTGATCAACAATAATTAGTGATGACAGTGATTAACAATAATTAGTGATGATAGTGATTAACAATATTTAGTGATGATAGTGATTAACAATAATTAGTGATGATAGTGATTAATAATAATTAGTGATGATAGTGATTAACAATAATTAGTGATGACAGTGATTAACAATAATTAGTGATGATAGTGATTAATAATAATTAGTGATGATAGTGATCAACAATAATTAGTGATGATAGTGATTAACAATAATTAGTGATGATAGTGATTAACAATAATTAGTGATGATAGTGATTAATAATAATTAGTGATGATAGTGATTAACAATAATTAGTGATGACAGTGATTAACAATAATTAGTGATGATAGTGATTAATAATAATTAGTGATGATAGTGATCAACAATAATTAGTGATGATAGTGATTAACAATAATTAGTGATGACAGTGATTAACAATATTTAGTGATGATAGTGATTAATAATAATTAGTGATGATAGTGATTAACAATAATTAGTGATGATAGTGATTAATAATAATTAGTGATGATAGTGATTAATAATAATTAGTGATGATAGTGATTAACAATAATTAGTGATGACAGTGATCAATAATAATTAGGGATGATAGTGATTAATAATAATTAGTGACGATAGTGATCAACAATAATTAGTGATGATAGTGATTAACAATAATTAGTGATGATAGTGATTAACAATAATTAGTGATGATAGTGATCAATAATAATTAGTGATGATAGTGATTAACAATAATTAGTGATGATAGTGATTAACAATAATTAGTGATGACAGTGATCAACAATAATTAGTGATGATAGTGATTAACAATAATTAGTGATGATAGTGATTAACAATAATTAGTGATGATAGTGATTAACAATAATTAGTGATGACAGTGATTAATGATAACTAGTGATCATAGCGATGAACAATAATTAGTGATGACAGTGATCTTGGGCAGGCGATGTAACCTGCAGTGGAGACACCAACTCCAGGACATGCTTGAGGTGGATGGCGTAGTTGATCTTAGACTCAGCAGTTCTCAACTGGAACAGGGTGGATGGATAGACAGATACATAGATAGATACATTTTGATTTAAAGCTTTCGTGACTGCAGGGATTAATATTCTTGGTTCTTTCGGTAAAGTCACCACGTAGAAATGGAAACTATAAAATAATAAAAATATAAAACAATAAAATTATCACGAAGTTTCGACTGCAACACGAGCAATCATCATCAAGGTGTGAAAACCACAGCAAGATAATTGTATTCTTTTATATTTATATTATTTCCCTTCTACGTGACTTTACCGAATATAGATAGATACATGTAGAGATAAATATAGACAAATAAATAGATCACTAAATAGCCTCTCTCTCTACATCACGGGTGGGGAACCTTTTTTCTATCAAGGGCCATTTGGATATTTAAAACATCATTCGCGGGCCATACAAAATTGATCAACTTAAAAATTAGCCCGTTATATCTGGTCAAACGTTTAATTAACTCGCCCCTAATGCGATGGGCTGGAACTGCTTCTCTTTGGCGAGGCGTTTGGTGATGTTAGCCGGTATTGACGATGTTGTTGCTACTCGCAACTGCTCTTCCAGGTTTTCTCTACCTAGATTTATTGAATTTCGAGTCCTGCCTGCGGTTGCCTTGGCAGGGCCAGAGACCGGACGTTCCCCACCCCTGTTTAACGTGATGAAGGGGTACTGTGTGATGCTGAGCGAGGTGATGCTGATGATGATTAAAGTGATCATCTCACCGTCTCTGTCTTAGGGATTAGAAACAGCATTGAGAGCAGGTGGTCTACATTCAGAAACTGACTGATAGCTGCACACACATACACACAGACATCACACATATACACACAGACACACACACACAGACATACACAACAACAACAACCGCCATTCGCCACTAAGTGGCGGTGACATCACCACGACGCTTGTGCCAGGCCATGTGCACCTTGAGGCCACATGAAGTGTCGAACGCCCACCGGCAGGTGGTCACGGGGCAGACCCAGGTGCCACGGGTCAACTGACTAAGATGACTGAGATGACTGGCTGATGCACCACCTGTGCCCCCTACTGTGCCAACTTGCTGTGCTTTAGCCACCCGGCGCTCCGCTCGTTGTTGTGAGCGTCGCTCCTCCGCCCTCCGTTGTTGTTGGAGGGCGACTGCCTCCAACTGCCCAGTAGCGTCCTTCACGAGCCTCCTCCACAGAGGCCGATCTTGACACCGCTGGTACCAGTCATCGGCAAGTCCACTCAGCTCCACGTCCTCCTGTACCACATCACTCCATCTCTTCTCTAGCCCATGCCGCGCCCGTTTAGCCCCCTCAATCCGGCCGAACAAAATCTATTTGGGCATGTGGTGATTGGGTATGCGGGCTACATGGCCCAGCCAATGCAGTCTTGCCTGCCGGAGGAGCTCACCGATGGGACTTTGTCCAAATTTTTCGAGGATTTGTGAGCTCCTTACACAATCCAGCCTGGTTAAACCCAGGATTGATCGTAGGCAGGCCAGCCTAAATATTTCTAACCGGTGAAGATGTTCCATTAGGGGGGTCCACGTTTCGGAAGCGTAGAGAAGGGAGTGAATGACCGTGGCCGAGAAGACCTGAAGCTTAGTGCGGAGCGACAGACCAAGTAACTTCCACACAGCGTTACGCAACCGATTAAAAGATAATGCCGCTCGACTGATTCGGAGTGAGACCTCTGCTGTTAAACCGGAGCCGGTCATGAGCACATTGCCCAGGTATGGGAAACTCTCCACTCTCTCCACAACTGCCCCATCACCCACATACCCACTCACCCACCCACCCAACCACTCACTCACCCACTCACCCACCCACCCACCCACTCACTCACCCACTCACCCACCCACCCACTCAGCCACCAACCCACCCACCCACCGGCCTGCACTCTATAGAAGTTGTCTTCCTGCATCAGCTCATCCACACAGTCGAGACGGCTTCTGAGCATCTCTTCATCCACCAGCGGCTCGTGGATGTTGGCTCTGAGCCGGCGCGCTCCTCCACGCGTCCTCGTGTAGTTGAGCACCCCGAATAGCGAGTGGGAGCTCCTGGGTGCACGCTCGCACGCACACACGCACACACACGGGTGGAGGAGGGTCACACAAACACACACCAACACACACCCACACACACTCATACCACACTCGCACCCACACATACACGCACACACACCAACACACACACACACACTACCACACTCGCACCCACACACACCCCCACACACACCAACACACACCAACACACACACCAACACACACACACCAACACAAACCACAAACCAACAACAACAACCACCATTCGCCACTAAGTGGCGGTGACATCACCACGACGTTTGTGCCAGGCTATGTGCACCCTGAGGCCACGTGAAGTGTCGAACGCCCGCTGGCAGGAGGTCACGGGGCAGACCCAGGTGCCACGGGTCGACTGACTGAGATGACTGGCTGATGCACCACCTGTGCCCCCTACTGTGGCAACCTGCTGTGCTTTAGCCACCCGGCGCTCCGCTCGTTGTTGTGAGCGTCGCTCCTCTGCCCTCCATTGTTGTTGGAGGGCGACTGCCTCCAACTGCCCAGTAGCGTCCTTCACGAGCCTCCTCCACAGAGGCCGATCTTGACACCGCTGGTACCAGTCATCGGCAAGTCCACTCAGCTCCACGTCCTCCTGTACCACATCACTCCATCTCTTCTCTAGCCCGTGCCGCACCCGCTTAGCCCCCTCAATCCGGCCGAACAAAAGCTGTTTCGGCATGCGGTGGCGGGGCATGCGGGTTACATGACCTATCCGAGGGGCCACTCTATCCCGAGGGGCCACTTTAGCCAGTACCTGTGACAGGAGGTAATAGAAGGCATCTCACTCATCGGCTTTGCCTGCATCCCTCCACGGATGTTCATCTTCGGTGGGTGCATAAGTAACCACGACCACCATTCCTCTCCTCGGGTTGATGGGAAGGCGAGCCCAAAGTAGCCTGGGGCTTACAGCTTCCCACACCTCACCGCCACGCTCCCACGCCCCCTTCATTCTTTTGTTCAAAAGAAGAACCACTCCCTGTTGTTTGGCAGTCTGCTGCCCCGAGTAGAGGACTGTCCACCCGTCATGGTGGCAGGAGCCAGAGCCAGTCCACCGGACCTCCTGAATGCCACATAGATCCAGGCGGTACCGGTCCAGCTCCCGACAGAGGAGTGGCAGCCTCTCCTCCGCAGTGAGCGTTCGAACATTCCACGTGGCCACCCGTAGTGGTTTTTCGTTGTTTCTGGAGGAGCCCCGAGGGTAGATATTCAATCTCCTGGCTCCACACACAACCACACACACCACACACACCCACACACCCACACACACCACACCAACACCCACACACACACACCACACACACCAACACACACACCAACACACACACACCAACACACAGAAGGGGGAGCGGCTATCCCCGCTAGCGAGGGAGGAGGAGGAGGCATCGTCTACCGGGGGTCGTGGGAGTTGCGCAGCAGCTCCAGGTTGGCGGCCGTGGTGCCGTCGATCATGGCAGTGCGCTCACTGCCGCAGAAGGAGACGCGGACGGAGGCCGGGGTGAGCACCACGCCCTGGATGAACTCCACATACTGCAGCAGTGCCGCCAGCGAAGCCAGGCAGTAGTATCTGGGGGTGGTGGGCAGGGGGGAGGGTGAGTGGGAGGGTGAGAGGGGGGTGGGTGAGTGGATGGGTGAGTGGGTGGATGAGTGGATGGGTGAGTGGATGGGTGGGTGGGTGAGTGAGTGGGTAACCCTAATCCTAACCACTCCATCTCTTCTCTAGCCCGTACCGTGCCCGTTTAGCCCCCTCGATGCGGCCGAACAAAAGCTGTTTGGGCATGCGGTGGCTGGGCATGCGAGCTACATGGCCCAGCCAACGCAGCCTTGCCTGCCGGAGGAGCTCACCGGTGAGCTCCTCACCCACTCACCCACACACTCACCCATAGACCCACACACTCACCCACACACTCACCCACACACTCACCCACAAACTCACCCACATACCCACACACTCATCCACACACTCACCCACACACCGACTCAGCCACTCACAGACCCACACACTCACCCACTCACTCACCTACACACCCACACACCCACTCACACACACACCCACACACACCCACACACCCACTCACTCACCCACTCACCCATAGACCCACACACTCACTCACCCACTCACCCACCCACTCACCCACTCACCCACACACACCCACACACTCACCCACTCACTTCCCCTGCACGTCCATGAGCACGGTGGCCATGTGGGGCACGCAGAGCCTCCGCACGGCGTCCGTGCCCCGCTCATCGTTGAAGTATTTCCTCAGCACCGTGGTCACGTGGGCCTCCTGCACACGCACTCACCACGAGGTGGCAGCACCCACTGTGGTGCGTCTGTGGGTCTCTGGTGAGTCTGTGGGTCTCTGTGTGGTGAGTCTATGGGTCTCTGTGTGGTGAGTCTGTGGGTCTCTGTGTGATGAGTCTATGGGTCTCTATGTGATGAGTCTCTGGGTCTCTGTGTGATGAGTCTATGGGTCTCTGTGTGATGAGTCTATGGGTCTCTGCGTGATGAGTCTATGGGTCTCTGCGTGATGAGTCTATAGGTCTCTGTGTGGTGAGTCTGTGGGTCTCTGTGTGGTGAGTCTATGGGTCTGTATGTGATGAGTTTATGGGTCTCTGCGTGGTGAGTCTATGGGTCTCTGTGTGATGTGTCTGTGGGTCTCTGTGTGGTGAGTCTATGGGTCTGTATGTGATGAGTCTATGGGTCTCTGCGTGGTGAGTCTATGGGTCTCTGTGTGGTAAGTCTATGGGACTCTGTTTGGTGAGTCTATGGGACTCTATGTGGTGAGTCTATGGATCTCTGTGTGGTGAGTCTATGGGTCTCTGTGTGGTGAGTCTAGGAGTCTCTGTGTGATGAGTCTATGGCTCTCTGTGTGATGAGTCTATGGGTCTCTGTGTGATGAGTCTATAGGTCTCTGTGTGATGAGTCTATGGGTCTCTGCGTGATGAGTCTATGGGTCTCTGTGTGGTGAGTCTATGGGTCTCTGTGTGGTGAGTCTATGGCTCTCTGTGTGATGAGTCTATGGGTCTTCTGTGTGATGAGTCTATGGGTCTGTATGTGATGAGTCTATGGGTCTCTGCGTGATGAGTCTAGGAGTCTCCGTGTGCTGAGTCTATAGGTCTCTGTGTGATGAGTCTATGGGTCTCTGTGTGATGAGTCTATGGGTCTCTGTGTGATGAGTCTATGGGTCTCTGTGTGATGAGTCTATGGCTCTCTGTGTGATGAGTCTATGGCTCTCTGTGTGATGAGTCTATGGGTCTCTGTGTGATGAGTCTATGGCTCTCTGTGTGATGAGTCTAGGAGTCTCTGTGTGATGAGTCTAGGAGTCTCCGCGTGGTGAGTAGTGGCGATGCCCTCCGTGCGTGCTCACAGGGAAGTAGTCCCTCAGCAGGGTGAACATTTTGCTGGCGTTTGGGTTGCAGGCCGTGTGGGGCATCACCACCTCCAGTGGGCGTAGCACCTGCAGCTTGGTGATCGCCTGAACAAGCAGCAGCAGCAGCAGCGCCAGCAACGAGAACAACAGGCTGAGGTGCAGCAGGAGGAGGTCACGGGACAGACCCAGGTGCAGTGGGTTGACTGCTGTGCCAGGCTAGGTGCACCAGGAGGAGGTCACGGGACAGACCCAGGTGCAGTGGGTTGACTGCTGTGCCAGGCTAGGTGCACCAGGAGGAGGTCACGGGACAGACCCAGGTGCAGTGGGTTGACTGCTGTGCCAGGCTAGGTGCACCAGGAGGAGGTCACGGGACAGACCCAGGTGCAGTGCGTTGACTCCTGTGCCAGGCTAGGTGCACCAGGTGGAGGTCACGGGACAGACCCAGGTGCAGTGGGTTGACTGCTGTGCCAGGCTAGGTGCACCAGGAGGAGGTCACGGGACAGACCCAGGTGCAGTGCATTGACTCCTGTGCCAGGCTAGGTGCACCAGGAGGAGGTCACGGGACAGATCCAGGTGCAGTGCGTTGACTCCTGTGCCAGGCTAGGTGCACCAGCAGGAGGTCACGGGACAGACCCAGGTGCAGTGGGTTGACTGCTGTGCCAGGCTAGGTGCACCAGGAGGAGGTCACGGGACAGACCCAGGTGCAGTGGGTTGACTGCTGTGCCAGGCTAGGTGCACCAGGAGGAGCTCACGGGACAGAACCAGGTGCAGTGCGTTGACTCCTGTGCCAGGCTAGGTGCACCAGGAGGAGGTCACGGGACAGACCCAGGTGCAGTGGGTTGACTGCTGTGCCAGGCTAGGTGCACCAGGAGGAGGTCACGGGACAGACCCAGGTGCAGTGCGTTGACTCCTGTGCCAGGCTAGGTGCACCAGGAGGAGGTCACGGGACAGACCCAGGTGCAGTGCATTGACTCCTGTGCCAGGCTAGGTGCACCAGGAGGAGGTCACGGGACAGACCCAGGTGCAGTGGGTTGACTGCTGTGCCAGGCTAGGTGCACCAGGAGGAGGTCACGGGACAGACCCAGGTGCAGTGGGTTGACTGCTGTGCCAGGCTAGGTGCACCAGGAGGAGGTCACGGGACAGACACAGGTGCAGTGGGTTGACTGCTGTGCCAAGCTAGGTGCATGAGGTAAGGTAAAATAAAAAAAAAACTAGTGTTTAATAGTTTAAGACTAACCTAACCTGTCAATGTATATATACTGCATACCGTCAGAATAACGACACGCACACATTGGCACGTAGCTACTTACGTGGCTACGGGGCCCCGCACTTTCAAGGGCCCCGCGCTAAACGCTTTCAAGCGATCAATTCCGGTTCGGTGATTCTGCTCTCTTACCAGAGTACGAAACCACCCTTCAGCTTTTACGAACGGCCGAGTGTGTTGAAGGTTCAGTTTCAGTTTTCAGTTTATTTTGGGTATAGCCCTGTGAGCCATCCGGCTCTTGAATCGGAGTGCAACCGCAACAAACCAACAAACCAACAAAAACACGACCAAGAAAAGCATCAAATTTTGACTTAAAGCTTTCGTGACTGCAGTGATTCATATTCTCAGCTCTTTCGGTAAAGTCACGTTAAAGGGAAATAATAAAATAATAAGCACAGAGACAATTTAAACCGAGAAGATGGATTCTGACTTAGCAATCATTGGAAGGATTTGATAAACCATTTCAGGTCTTAATTGATTGTTCACGCTTACGGTGGCATTCAGACAGCATACATTAATTTTTCGTCTCCCCCCTCCTCTTTTCAGAACATAGATGGACTAGTCCTTCTAAATAAACTGTCAAATCGCTGCCCATGGTGCTAACGTTTTATAAATAAATAAATGCACCGTTTAAAAATAAATACATAAATGCAAACCCACACACCTGATGACGACTGTTTGTGTTATGGTCGAAACGTCGTGAGAATTTTTATTGTTTTATATATATTTTATTATTTTAATGTTTCCCTTCAACGCGACTTTACCGAAAGAGCTAAGAATATTAATTACTGCAGTCACGAAAGCTTTAAATCAAAACAACCACAACCACAAAGAAAACTTAGGTTAGAGATGCGTCGCATTATCCGGCCGTACAGCAAGTGACAAAAATGACAATCGCTTTACCGCGCAGGTGAAGAATGTGCGTGTTTTAGTTTTTAATTCAGGGCCCGCTTCATAACATGCACTGCACAGGAGGGGGGGGGCCCTTTGTGTTCGTGCACGGAGAGAGAAGGAGGCTGACCTTGACGTAGGGCTGGCTGTCGGGGAACTGACACAGGACCAGCTCGGGGCAGCGCAGGTCGGTGCTGGCCAGGCCAACCTCGCCCCGAGCGATACCTCGGCCCTCTGCCAACGCCACCACCACCGACCTCGCCTCCACCTCCTCCTCCTCGTCGTCGTCGCCGGCGTCGTCAGTCGTGGAGAACGAGGTCGCTGCGGGGCCACAAGAGAGACGGGGTGCTGCCTCCTGTCGTGAGTCGATGAACGGTGGTGAGTCTACGGGTCTCTGTGTGAGTCTACGGGTCTCTGTGTGAGTCTACGAGTCTCTGTGTGTGAGTCTACGGGTCTCTGTGTGAGTCTATGGGTTTTTGTGTCAGTCTATGGGTCTCTGTGTGAGTCTATGGGTCTCTGTGTGATGCTACGGGTCTCTGTGTGAGTCTATGGGTCTCTGTGTGAGTCTACGGGTCTCTGTGTGAGTTTATGGGTCTCTGTGTGAGTCTACGGGTCTCTGTGTGAGTCTACGGGTCTCTGTGTGAGTCTACGGGTCTCTGTGTGAGTCTACGGGTCTCTGTGTGAGTCTATGGGTCTCTGTGTGAGTCTATGGGTCTCTGTGTGAGTCTACGGGTCTCTGTGTGAGTCTACGGGTCTCTGTGCGAGTCTACGGGTCTCTGTGTGAGTCTATGGGTCTCTGTGTGAGTCTACGGGTCTCTGTGTGAGTCAATGGGTCTCTGTGTGAGTCTATGGGTCTCTGTGCGAGTCTACGGGTCTCTGTGTGAGTCTATGAAGGGTGGTGAGTCTATGGGTCTCTGTGTGAGTCTATGGGTCTCTGTGATGAGTCTATGGGTCTCTGTGTGAGTCTATGGGTCTCTGTGTGTGAGTCTACGGGTCTCTGTCTGAGTCTATGGGTTTTTGTGTCAGTCTATGGGTCTCTGTGTGAGTCTATGGGTCTCTGTGTGAGTCTACGGGTCTCTGTGTGAGTCTATGGGTCTCTGTGTGAGTCTACGGGTCTCTGTGTGAGTCTATGGGTCTCTGTGTGAGTCTACGGGTCTCTGTGTGAGTCAATGGGTCTCTGTGTGAGTCTACGGGTCTCTGTGTGAGTCAATGGGTCTCTGTGTGAGTCTATGAAGGGTGGTGAGTCTATGGGTCTCTGTGTGAGTCTATGGGTTTCTGTGCGAGTTTACGGGTCTCTGTGTGAGTCTATGTGTCTCTGTGTGAGTCTATGGGTCTCTGTGCGAGTCTACGGGTCTCTGTGTGAGTCTATGGGTCTCTGTGTGAGTCTACGGGTCTCTGTGTGAGTCTATGGGTCTCTGTGTGAGTCTACGGGTCTCTGTGTGAGTCAATGGGTCTCTGTGTGAGTCTACGGGTCTCTGTGTGAGTCAATGGGTCTCTGTGTGAGTCTATGAAGGGTGGTGAGTCTATGGGTCTCTGTGTGAGTCTATGGGTTTCTGTGTGAGTTTACGGGTCTCTGTGTGAGTCTATGTGTCTCTGTGTGAGTCTATGGGTCTCTGTGCGAGTCTACGGGTCTCTGTGTGAGTCTATGAAGGGTGGTGAGTCTATGGGTTTCTGTGTGAGTCTGTGGGTCTCTGTGTGAGTCTATGGGTTTCTGTGTGAGTCTATGGGTCTCTGTGTGAGTCTACAGGTATCTGTGTGAGTCTATGGGTTTCTGTGTGAGTCTATGGGTCTCTGTGTGAGTCTATGGGTCTCTGTGTGAGTCTACGGGTCTCTGTGTGAGTCTATGGGTTTCTGTGTGAGTCTATGGGTTTCTGTGTGAGTCTACGGGTCTCTGTGTGAGTCTATGGGTTTCTGTGTGAGTCTACGGGTCTCTGTGTGAGTCTACGGGACTCTGTGTGAGTCTACCGGTGGACGTGGTGGCCCTGCTGCTGCTGCCGGGCGCATGCCTCTGGCGTTGCCGCCGCGAGCCGCCTGGCGCCGCACGGAACCGGGAAGCGGGGAGGGGCACCCGCGGGGCCCAGGAGGAGAAGCCTGGCATCACCACGGTGGGAGCATCACCGCAGCCGCCACCGCCACCACCGCCGCCACGGCCGCCGCCGCGGGCCCTGCCGCCGCCGCTGGTGGTTGTGGCGGTGTCGGCGTTGCCGCTCCGGTCGGCCCAACCCGACTCTGGGAACAAGAGAAACGGGGGGGCGGCGGACGGAGACTTAATTAAAGCGATCCGTTTTCTTTGAGGCTCCTCACGCTCTCGGCCCTGTTCTAACGTGGCACGTGGGGAGCGCGATGGCGTCCCCAGTGGACGCGGGCACCAGAAGACCGACATCGTTCAAGAGAGAGGCTTCACCAAAAACAGAAGCGAGAGAGCTTGCATACTTCGACAGCTGGCGAGGAACGACGCCTCCCTCTCGTCTCCTGCCCACCAACCCCAGCGAGGTCTTCTGCAAAAATCCTGTTCGGCAGGATTAACGGTGCTCCCCTTTGACAAGACCCTAGCGGAGGGTGCGAGCTGATTTTCTAAAGGGAGGGGGGGGAGAGGCTGCGTAGGGCCACACATTCGCTCGACGCAATATCACAGAACGGTGCCCGGAATGGAAAGCCGTGGGCTTGTCGGGGCCTTAACGCTCCGCAGGGAGCGGAGAGCAGCCAGATGCAATCTGTTCCTTAAACCTGTCGTGACCACAGGAATTCATGTTGTTGAGTTATTTCGGCAAAAACTCACATAGGTACGAAAACATTTTAATGGATCACGACGTTTGGATCGCGACACAAGCAACCGTCACCAGGTGTGAAACGAACACAGCAGGTGGACCGCCGATGTAGGAGCTGACGTAGGAGCAGTCCACGTGACCTCACCAAAAGAACCAAAGGATATGGAGCAAGAGGAGCCAAAGTACGGTAATCCGTCAACATCAAAATAATCCGCGGAGA